TTGAAAGACATTTAGAAGTTGGACGAACCTGACACGTTTTATCGGGTTAAGGAAGGAGCAAGAATTAGTTCTGAAACGTCGCACAAACAATAAAAGAATGTGTTATCCATGAAAACATGTCATGCATTCAGGCAATGTAGATGATTTGCTTCTGACATCAACACAAATAAGCTACAAATAATAAGTAATTTATTTGAAGATTTTGCCATTTATTTACTAATCGCTGATATATAGCCCCTACTATTGCTGAGTGCTGCGTAAACCCAAACAAACAAATGTACATCAAAAATAGTCGGATGTGTACAATCGACTGCCTTTTGTAGAGATTTGTTTTGGGTGTGGACAGAAGTGAGGGACTTTGGTTTGAAAACGTGAAGTAAAATCTAAGTGTACCGCCAGATCCTTGTCTCAACGGTTAACCGTACTTTTGGGGTAATAATAATAATAATAATAATAAGGGTGCTCTTTTATAGCGCCTCATCCACATCACCCAGGGACATGCTCTAAGCGCATAAGTACTATAAGAGGGAAGGATTTTGTGATATTCACAGAAAGTATTTGTGCGGAATTTGTGGTAAACATGAAAGCAAATACTTATTGTTTACTGATAATACAATATGTGAAATACTGAATTTCTTGACTGTAACTTCCTAAACATGTGTATAAATATGATCTGCATCGTCCAATAATCGTCAATAATAGCCAATTTCATTCCAGTGATTTACTCACCTGAACTTCTGAATAACAATGGTTCAGTGTTTCATATGTAGATCTCTCTGCATAAAGCAAAGTACTGGTACAAGTAGCGATCTTATACCAAAAGGTTATTACTCGTTTGTATATTTTGTTATATATTGGCTCTCTACCAAATTCACCATAGAGAGCAAAGTTTGGAGTTGAGTTTCTAGGACGAAATTAGTTTAAGGAATTTAGGGTGTAGTCTTTCAATAGTCAGTAAAGCTTTCAAATCCCCAAATTTCTTCGATCCATGTATCATAATAGGTACGATCATAGTGTCAAAAAAGCTGTTAAAATACAATCTAGTGGTAAATTTGTATTCCGGGCTTTTTCAATAAAGCATACATGGCTGCACTCTCAACTAGTGATTTGATTGTAATTATATATCTACCATTCCTATGAAGTTTGATTCCAAGATAATTGTACACGTCGACTGTTTCTATGTTTTGGTTTTGATACACGAATATATTTTTGATTTGGTCGCAGGTCCGCTACCAAAATGAGCACTTTTGTTTTGTGAGATTTACTTGTAATTTCCATGTGGAACAATATTGCTGAAATGTATCTAATGATTTTGCAATTCAACTTGTATCACCCGATATTTGCCTAAAATGGAAGCAGTTTTGTCTGACGCCGCACATACTCCTGCCATGCAAGGGCGGCCTGTATATAAACCAGACAATCAAGTGATCGAAGAACCGTAAAACAGAGAATTTTGAATTACGATTGCTGTTTAGAAGTACAGTTCAGATATGCTTACAAATAAAGGAAAATCGTTTGGGAAATAGATATTTTATTTAAAACATTCTGTTTTAATATATCTCACCAAAATTTCTTTAAAGTTTTACTTAAGCCATACTTCAGTCCAGCGTTCACGGCTTGACAAACCGGTACATTCGGAACACCAGGCGCGTAAACAAAATAGGTGTAAACAAACACATAGTAATGTTGACCAATGTGGATACTATTAACTATAATATTAAATTTTATAAAATGAATTGCTGCTTTGGAGAAGTACAATTATTTTTAATTCCATTTGAGCTATTGGACCCTTGATTCAGTTGGACCATTGAAATTCCGGGTTAATATTGATACAGTAAATGATAAATGTAAAAATCCTTAATAGCTATTTTTCCTTCTACTGACACATTTCATAATATTAATTGCGAAATCCGGGTTAGAATTGACTTCACTAACCCATGCTTGTTACAAGAAGATTACTAACGGGATCGGTGGTCAGGGTCGCTGACTTCATTGTTAAACAAACAAACCAAACCAACTGCACAAGAGGAATTTATATTGCGTGAGCAAAACTATGGTAATCAGTTGAAATCTTTATTTTAATCCCGGAAATATGACACTTGCCCTAAACGTGATATTGTGGTTCTGTGAACTGCGGGGCGGTGGGGTAGCCTAATGGTTAAAGCGTTATTTGTCAAGCCGAAGACCCGGGTTCGATCCTCACATGGGCAATGCGCGTGAAGTCTCTGTGAACTGCTGTGATGTGTATAATTCCCCCTACAGCAGTATCTGACACCACTTGTATTCATGTTTTGCGTGATGCAATACGACACATTCACTGAATGAATTAAATGTGTATTATCATAGTGTCACACATGGCTTGGTCGTAAGCAAAGCTGATTTAACCGAGCGCCGCAAATGCGGTTAAAGTATGTATCTAAATATTCAGATTTGACTTTGAAACGCGCTAGAGCAGGCAGTCAAGGCCCAAAGAGGAATGATGTCGTGAAATGCAATGGCTGGGTCCTAAAAAATAAGAATAAAACACTGATTTATGATTCTTATCTGGCAGTGATATTCATGGTTAAGCAGTTAAATTGTATGACCTTTCGTTGCGATTCAGTAGAGGGCAGAGTTGTTTGTTTCCATATTAGATTTGGAGTCACGAGTAATCATTCAAGCCGTCAGAGCGACATGGGCTTATCTGTTCCCATGGCATCCAAATCAGACGTCTGAGGAAGATCAAACAGATCCGTATTTTGCGCTGTATATCAAGGCCAGGTCATGGAGGTTTGACCACTGGTAAGTGAATATTGTTGTTGCTGTCTTGGTTGCCTTTTTACCACTGATACGGTGTTTACACTGCCAATGTAATTGTATTGACAATGAAGGTGTGTAGCCACTTTATGTTGTTCTGTCGGTGTCCTTCCTTTCCAGTAAGTGGTATCCATCCATCCATCTAATAGCCTTAAATGCGCTTGACCTTATAGAATGTCCAGAGCAAATCATTGTATTCAACTGTTGTGTATAGAACTGCCATATGATGTAATGTCAAAACAAGAGGCGTTGTGATTCCTTCTGACCAGGGAACAGGTAACGTAAATGATGTCGAATGAAGTTCTTGAAAGACATTTAGAAGTTGGACGAACATGAATACCTGACACGTTTTATCGGGTGATGAAGGAGCAAGAATTAGTTCTGAAACGTCGCATAAACAATAAAAGAATGTGTTATCCATAAACACGTGTCATGCATTCAGGCAATGTAGATGTTTTGCTTCTGACATCAACACAGCCAGTTACAAATAATATAATTTATTTGGAAGATTTGTCGATTATTTACTAATCGCTGACATATAGCCCTACTATTGCTGAGTGCTGCGTAAAAAAACCCAAACAAACAAATACATGCTCAAAATAGTCGGATGTGTACAATCGACTGCCTTTTGTAGAGATTTGTCATGGATGTGGACAGAAGTGAGGGACTTTGGTTTGAAAACGTGAAGTAAAATCTATTACTCTTTTGTAATGAATTACAAAGCCGAAGAAAGAGCGATCCATTGATGGGCCCAGCAAGTGTTACCGCCAGATCCTTGTCTCAACGATTAACCGTAATTCTTAATACTATAAGAGGGAAGAATTTTTTGATATTCACAGACAGTATTTGTGCGGAATTTGTTGTAAACATGAAAGCAAATACTTATTGTTTACTGATAAAACAATATGTGAAATACTGGACTTTCTTGGACTGTAACTTCCTTCCTGTAACATGTGTATACATGATCTGGTATCGTCCAATAATCATCAAAAGAGCCAATTTCATTCCAGTGATTTACTCACCTGAACTTTAAATAATGGTTCAGTGTTTCATATGTAGATCTCTGCATAAAGATTCATCGTGGTCACCTTGTTTGCTTCGATTCATGAACGTATTTCACAATTCATTTGTGGTTAGCTTTGTAGCAGTTTGATGTGTATGGATACAACTTTATTTCCTCTACATGTGCACGTTGATCAAATCCACTGACTGACACAAATCAGCAATTAATGATTCAGTAGAGGACTGGGGTGTGCTAGGTACTATATTTAGATGTGAATATATGTAGACTGGAATGCAGCGACGACGATTATTAGCAAGTGTAATCTTGGAAGCTTCCTGAACATAGGAGACCTGTCCAGCATATTGTACTCCAGCATGTTATGGAATGTTCTAGACGAGATGTATACCATACGTATAGGACACGCGCACGCCTCTCTGATCTCCCATTACCCCAAGACCAGCAGTCTGTGAAGATCGTCATTTGCAAAATAGACAAACTTTATGGATAACAACTTCCTTATTACGAAAGTGCGACGTTTCGATAATACCGCTGTTAAGCAGGAACAATACAAGCATCTGTATCGAAACGTCGCACTCTCGTTATAAAGAAGACTTTTATTTGCACTGTAAAGACCAAACACAATAATATTCTGGTTTATGGATTTGTAAATGTGATTATGTCCTTTATTACATTACGTACAAACTGATGAAAAAAGTAATATTTATTTTTCGTTTATGAACAACCGTGTCTCAACAAAAGGTTATGTAATATGTGTGTGGGCTATGTTCCGTTGTTAAGGGGTAAGGGGACATGGGCACTGAATGGTCTGAGGCATTAATTCGTCGACAGAGTTGCGTCCCTTGGACATGTCAACAAGATGTTGTCATGGGTTTCAATGTCGGCCTTCCCTGATAACGTTTCTTGATGTGTCACTACCATACCCGTGGGTTTCACCAACATGGTAAACGTATATGACTCTTGCATCTCTTCGTGGGGCGGTGGGGTAGCCTAGTGGTTAAGCGTTCACTCGTCACGATCGGAGACCCCACATGGGTACAATGTGTGAAGCGGTGTCTTCCGCTATGATATTACTGGAATATTGCCAAAGGCTTCGTAAAACCATATTCATTCACTCACTCACTGCATCACTTCGGGATTTCCTCCCATATTAAACTGACACGCCGTGATGAAACTGGGAAACTCATCCACTTTCTACAATACACTGCAGCAAAATACCTAAAGTGCAGACTACAGAGACAATGAAGAACAACACAAGGCATAATCTGTCCATCACTACTGCCACTTTCTTCCATTCCTCTTCTACAGCTTCAGCCTCATCCTTCTGGGCGTACCGACTGTTGATCTCCTTCAGGACCATTAGCTGTTCGTTCATCACTTTCTTCGGGTAGTTCAATTCAGTTTCATGATTCAGTACATTTTGGTGTTCCTTTTTGACATCACCCTGAAACAATTTGAAATCTATGAGCTTTACCCCAGTATCAGCATGAAAGAGAGCGCGTCCACCCCAAAGATAATCGAATGATTTTATCTACTACTATTGTTAAAGTTTGTTTTGCGAAATTAGGACTAGAATGTATAAATATACTGTGAAGACTTCGGAGGAAAGGCTTTTATTATTAAAGGATAACAATCAAAGTTTGTTCATGACCTCACGACATACATCATGGCGGTATGTTATCTACAATAGAAAAGGCACCAGTCTAGTTTTTCAATTGAAAGTATAATATATTTTATAGTAACGATTGGCTTGACTTTGAACTCTTGTTGTACATTTCGTACCGAATAGTCTTGGAGGTGAAGGTCACTGTCACCGTTGACGGGTGTCTTCATTGGATGGACAGGCATTTCTTTCCTGACACAAAGGATCTGTGCGAGCGTCCCGAGAAACAGACTCCTCATCCATCGAGGAACACCTCTACCATGTTGACCTTTGAAGTGCACGTTTAACACGATCACTGTTAGGACCGTGGAGAAGGTGACCAACATCATAGCCAGAAAGAAGTAGATTCCTGTGGAGGGAAAGGATGTTTAGTGGTTTCATAGTAGATGTATAGGTTTGTCGTGTGACCACAATTTGAGATGTCCGCAGGAAGTAGATTCCTGTGGAGTGAGGGAACGGTAAGTAGACGCATGTCCACTGTTTTGCTTTTGTGATGCAGATCCCTGTGGAACTCTAGATCGTTTAATCGGAATTTCAGTGTTATATGAAAGCAGGCTATCGTGCCATGCAGACATTAGTGAAAGATTATTCTGGTATTCATTACGTTTGTGTGGTGTTTAACGCCGCACGGGCAATATTCCAGCTAATTGGTCTGTAAATAATCAAATCTGGACCAGACAACCGAGTGATCAACATCATGAGCATCGATCTACGCAACTTGGATACAATGGCATGTGTCAACCAAGGCAGCGAGCTGTTAGTTGCCTCTTAGGACAAAAATGGGTTGCTGAACACCAATTCTAACCCAGATCTTTATGGGGTTATACTGGTATTAACGTTGCATCTTGTCATACACGTAGGTCGAACAATTAACAGTCGAACAGTCGAAATGTTTTTGTTAACAAATGTAAGACACGTGATTTCAAAATTAGGAATATTGCACAAAATGGATATATTGCCATACCTATAAACGGAAAGGTTTCCGACGACGGCGGTAATGTGTCAGACACGACCAGCATGAACACCGCCAGCGACAGCAACACGGTGATCTCGAGCGCCACCTTCTCCCCAGCGTCAGGAGGCAACATGAAGCCCAGTAGACCCACAGCTGTGATCAGTATACAGGGGAACAGTAGGTTGACTACGTAGAAGAACGGCTTGCGGCGTAGGTTGACGTAGAACGTCACGTCAGGGTAAGGATCTGGGCAGCAACCGTAGTACACCACATGTCGTTCCACTGGAACACTGATCAGGTCCCACTCGGAGTTGACTTTGAAGCTGGACATGTCCCCGGCAGAGGCTCTGTTGGTGAGATTGAGCTGGAGTCCGTGGAAGGACCAGGAACCAAACTTGAGCTCACATGATTGAGTGTCGAAGGGGAAGTAGGTGACGTCGACTTTGCAGAGGCTTGTTATAATTGTTGGGAAGTTGTAGGTCACTGACCCGTCCGAGGTGAACTTTGGGCGGTAGTCCTTGAGGCCAGCAAGTTCGTCTGCATTACTGGAACATTCATTATTTTTCATTGTAACTTAGCTAAGCCTTATGGGGATGAAGCTTAAGAAATGAATATATGGAAGATGAACTCTTTTAAGGTACAATGATTAGCCCTCATACAGGTTACAAAAATACACTCAATATATGTAGCTCACTCACGTGTCATATAGAGTAATGTCTGGTGTCCACACTTTCTCAAAGGGGAGGATAAGTTGTGAGATGTCCCCATACTCAGTGGCGTTCCATACCATCTGACAGTCGTACCAGTTCTACAACACAAATATAAATAAAATGGAATGCAATAATGTGACAGTTATGTTACTTGACTTTGATGCATTTCCCTATTTTGACTTGTACCATACGTTCCCGAATTATTTCAGGCGAACAACTGACTAGATTGCATATATTTATGACGGGTGGTGCAGGATACGCTCACCTTGTATCATAATTATTTTATAGTGATTCATAAAATTCATTCCAGCTTGGAAGTTGTTTCATGCTACAGGTATTTGGGTATTGTGTTCACTCCAAGGCTAGTATGGACTAAAGCTCAGACTACTCTTGCTTCTCAAGCGAGTAAAGCCCTTACTGCTTTCTACAGATACCAACACAGAGTAGGTTCTTTGTCATGTGTTGATCTTTTCAAAATATTTATTCCTATGGTTAAACCTATTCTTTATTACGGTTTGGAAATTTGGCGTGTCATGCATTGTAAAATCATTGAACAAATCCTGATAAAAACATGTAAATATTTCTTGAAAGTTGGCAAACGTACTTGTTACAATATGGTTCTTGGTGAATGTGGCAGATTCCCTCTTCAACTTACTTATATGTCAAGGGCAGTTAAATATTTGTGTAGACTTTTAACTCTTAGTTGTAGATTACATCATCTGAGTGATAACCCTGGCTGGTGACACGTGCCTCCGAGAAAGCATGAGTCCCGTGCACTCAGTGCAAGGCAGCCAATCAATGTCTGACGTACGAAGCTTGTGACGTCACATGATACACAGAGAAATAAAAAACAACAACTTATGTATAACTCTGTAAACTGTATTTTGGCCGGAGGCCTTGCATACAATAAAATTCTTGTCTGTCTGTCAGTTATATTTTATCTAAAAGACTTTGGATGAATCTGGACGCACGACATGGGCACCTCACATCAAGAATATTTCATTTAGATATTGGTTTGGCTTTGTTTGGATTTCCCAGGATATTGGCGATATTGATGGTTTCATTTCTGTTTTTAAGCAGATAATCTTTAACAAGGTTGGTATTCATCCCTACATAATACAACCAAGTGTTCTAATTATATGTTTTTCAAGTACCACGTAAATGTTGAAACGTATCTCACTTTCGATATTGACCAATTGTCCTTGTTTCATTACCTGAAAACCCGTTGTTTCCTCTTCTGAATACCAATTTAGATGAATTGCTTGTTTTATCCCCTAAATACCAGTCTTGATGAATTGCTTGTTTCCTCTCCGAATACCAGTTTAGATGAATTGCTTGTTTCCTCTCCTGAATACCAATTTAGATGAATTCCTTGTTTCCTCTCCTGAATACCAGTCTAGGTGAATTGCTTGTTTCCTCTCCGAATACCAGTCTAGATGAATTGCTTGTTTTATATCTCAATCGCCAAAACGTAGCAATAGTCAAGCAGTATTTTCATCAATTTCACGTGTAGAATGATTCTATAGCGTATAAAGAGAGACTAGAATGCATGATATGATAAACAAGTACGGGAAATATGCCACGATTAACAGATGAAGAGAGAGAAAGAGCCATTAGGATGGTGCAGATGGGGTCGACACACAATGCTGTTGCCAACGCCCTCGGATGCCACCATATCACGGTCATAAGACTTATTGAGCGCTACAGAGAGACTGGGGTCATCGTAGACAGGCCAAGAGGTGGACGTCCACGCATCACAACGCCAGCTGAAGATAGGTACCTCCGTCATAAAGGAAGGAGGGTAACGTTTCTTTTGGCGTTTATTGTATATGCGTGATATGCTTTCCAAAAGGAACCGTTTTAAATTAATTTCATTTACTATATAAAGGGTTCAGCAATACCTACCAGTCGAATCCAGGCGTTGACAGTCAGTATTTGGTTGGGCTCATCCTGGAATGGACCAGAAACACATCATCATACCTATGTTAAAACACCGGCGATAAGGAATAGGATAAAGTACAAGAAACTTCGACAATACTTCGCATCACAAGCTTCACACATAGTCAGTTTCGTGTGTCCTTGTGTGTGAGTTGGTGTGAGTGAGTTTAGTTATATGCTGCTTTTAGCAATATTCAGGCAATATGACGGCGGGGGATACCGGAAAAGGGTTTCACACATTGCACCCATGTGGGGAATCGAACCCGGATCTCCGGCGTGACGAGAGAACGCTTTAGCCACTAAGCTACCCCACCGCCCCGTGTTTTTTTGTGAGCCCTTGGATCACATGATTCATTGACGCTTTGACTTTGGATGATTCATCAGTTTGTTTAACGTCGCTTTGAGCAGTAGCGCTGATATAGCAAGGTATGTCAGCTTGATGATAGTACACTAACCAGTTCCATGACCTGTCGGATAGCCAGGCCAACTTTAACCTCTATTGGAGCGTCCGTCCCACAGATTGGCCGCACATCACTTCTATAGTTGGCAAACAGATCGTTTAACAGTGCTGTCTGGTTGCCATGGACACTGACCACTGTTAGAAACAAATATATGTTAGAGTATATCACACAAGGCATAGATGCCAAACGGCATAACCTGGCTATCAGTTCTCTGTATTCAACCATAGATTAACAAATTCTTTTCCCGATTTAATAATAATAATAATAATAATGGATATTCGTAGCACGCCATTATCCACCCACTGGTACATAAAAGCATACATACATTACATACAAAAGGATAAAATAGTAAAACAAGTATACACTGAAACTGATGACAAAAAGAATAGAAGTAGACGTTTGAGAAAAAGAAGGTTTTCAAATTAATTTTGAAAGCTTCCCACGTGGGAGACATGGAGAGGGAGAGATTTCCACAGAGTAGGGCCAGCGTACTGGAAAGACATCTTGCAAAAGGAAGAAAGGAGAAATTTAAGAACGGAGAGGAGATATTGGTCTTGAGATCTGAGAGTTCTGGACGGGGAGTACACAGTGAGAAGTTCGGAGAGATACGAAGGAGCTTGATTCTGTAAACATTTATACACAACACAAAAATGAAGTCTATCCGGTACTTGATAGGGAGCCAGTGTAATGATGAGAGTACAGGGGCGATATGGTCTCGTTTAGTGGTAAGGGATATAATAGGTGCTGCTGTAGTTTGGACTGTTTGTAGTTTATGGGGATGTCTGTTGGTGAGTCTATTACCACGCTATTACAGTAATCCACTTGCGAATCTAGAGACAGGCCTGGATCAATATAAACACCAATATCTTTTATCACATCTAACTGGGATGTTAACTCAAACAATCTTCACACTACCGATGTTCAATTTATCCAGGCTCCTTTGTTTTCCAACAATGAGAACCTCTGACTTAGTGGCATTTAGTTTTAGTTTTCTGCCCATCATCCACGTCTTAATTTCCAAAGTACAATTCTCAATCTTTTTGAACGTTGATTGGGCATTGTTTGGTTTGAACTTTGTCAGGAGTTGGTTATCATCTGCAAAGGTAAGTCACTGATCAGAGAGAGTTGGTTGATGTAAATCAGGAAGAGTACTGGGCCTAGAACGGATCCCTGCGGAACTCCACATGACAGAGTAATCTTCTGTAAGATGCTGCGCGACACTGTGACTGACCGATGTCTAGCAGACAGATATGAAGAGAACCAGGCCAGAGCTTGTCCGCCGATACCAGAGTGATGTTCACGTGTTTGGAGAAGAATCTCGTGTCCCACAGTGTCGAATGCGGCACACAGATCTAAGAGCTTCAGGATTGGGGTAGAAATAGGTTTAGGAAGGTTTAGTGCGTCAATATCGTCATCCAGAAGCATGTATGAAATTTCGATTGTCTTCTTTCGAGAAAATTGACCATTCCAATGAGAAGTGCTAATGTCACGACGATCTGATTTTGGATTCAGCTGAATTAAATTAATCAAATCAAATCCACATGCCTGTTGCCTGTCTTGATGTTTAAAGGTCTTGCAAAATGAAGAGTTTATATGCCTCTCTGGATTTTGCTCCAGCACGATTTTCTCGTTTAGCCTTTTTAAACTGCAATATGCCTTCTTGACACAGATACCAATCAAATAGAGCCTGATCAAGCCTAAGGCACTTGAGTTTGTCATGAGGAGTCCCGAAGGGGAGAAACTGCTCTCTCGTGTATATAATCCGTGCTTGATTGGTATCCATTTTTCTGCACTAGCCAGTGTTGGGAGACATAATCAGCATCCTGTTGAAAGGTGACTCTTAAAGATATTGGTTGTCCCAAGATATATACCGCATTGGACACATACGTTTTCATTAATGTATATTCCTGGCGGTGGGTTAGCCAAGCAGTTACAGCGTTCGCTCGCCACGCCGAATACCCGGGTTCGATTCCCCACAACTTACAATGTGGGAAACCCATGTCTGGTGTCCCCCGCCGTAATAGTGCTGAAATATTGCAAAAGCGGCGTAAGACTAAACTCACTCACTGATCATGTACATTCAGCGTCACTTAGAGCAAAGGTCAGCACTATCTCGACTGGACCCCGGGGCATGGACATGAAACTGTCATAACACCTAATGAGAAATCCATCATACGATACTGAGCAAATCATAAGCATGTGTATATAAATCACAATCACATTGTAAATGCACCAGACGTTCGCGAACAGCTGTGCCTGCTTATCTCTATCAGCGTATCATCCAATGGCAAGCGTAAAAGCTGGAGTATAAATTGAACAGAAATGACGATGGAATGGGTGGACTATCGTTACATATAATGTAGTTAAGATAACAGATCCTGAGAATAATGTTAACAGGAAATAGGTAACGAGTGATTAAAAGGGATGAAGCTTCGGGATTGAGGATGCCGTACATTTGTTTCGATATGGACCTACATGTAGCATTTGTACCGAAATGTCGCATGACAAAACCTGGAAGTCAATAAGGACAAGGGGCTTTGAATTTAGTGGAGTTTTCTTATGCTTTTGCAAATGTTTTAGTGCTAAATTATTCAACACATACCAAGCCATCGAGGGGAACGGAAGTCGGTATGTTGACAGAAGTATATTCCAGAAAACCGTAACGATCTGGTTTAGAAATGATTTTGATCATGCTTGTCATAATAAGCGATCGGGTAGTCAGGTACATGATCCGGTTCATGCATGCTATCGTATCCCAGTCGCGAAGGTCGATGCTAGCCATGTCAATACCAGATTGTCTGCTTCAGACTCGATTGTTTACAGAAGCTGGAACACTGTTGAGTGCAGCGTTAAACAACAACAAAACAACAAACAAAGGGTCACTTACCCACTATGCCCATGATGATTGCGACCCCTATGTAAGTCATATCTGCGGACTTTCACAGAACGTTTCACATGCAAGTGTCTTAGCGGAATTCCGTCCCAACACTTGTATCGCTGGCTCAGTAAAGGATAATGATATATGAAAAAAGGTTCAGGTTTATAAGCGTCGTTGAATCAAACGCTTGAAAACACTTAATTTATGGTAGCACCTTTTCTGATTAATGAAGCGTGAGGCATAAGAATGACTCCAAGAGCAAGATATAAGTTAATCGTCTTTGGTAATCGTATTATCACGTACGTTCTGCTAAATGTATTTCTATTTCTTGCATAAGCGTTGATACAATGCAGAAACAATGAGCATTAACGAGAGGAATGGTGGCTTCAGTCAAACAGAAAAAAGCACCTTGATGTATTTATGACACATCCTTCTGTTTGACAAGTGATTTCTATAATCATACACTTCAGAACTGGTCGCAAGCACTCCATATCGGTCTTACGAGGCGACTTAATGGATCTATTGTTGTTAATCTCTGATTTGCCTGCCCAGGACAAGGTATTTACTGTCAGTGTACGACGTTCTCTGACTGTTGGTGTTGCTATTATTTCCTTCCTTCAATTTCATCTTACATAATTTGTTAAATATCTGCAAATAAATGACGTAATGGACAGCGTGTCACAATGACACTGACACACCTTTTGCATTTCAAGGGGCGGTGGGGTAGCCTAAGTGTTAAAGCGTCCGCTCGTCACGCTGAAGGCCGGGGTTCGATTCCTCATATGTGAAACCCATTTCATCATCTATATTTCATCATACATATTTTACAGAAATAATCTGGATACGAAAACTGACAAGTTCCCTATGGGTATTTGTGGTGAATAACAGTCTAGTCCCCTCTACGCATGTCTAAACGTGAAACAAACTGGACGTTTCCAAACAGATGAGTGTGTGTGTTTGCTGAGAGTCAAATTTCTATGGGAACACGGACACCATTTCCCAAATAATCTGTTATCGTCACTGTTGGATGGTGGTTATGCTATTGATAGTTGTGATCGTAAAACGGGATGGGCTTTAAGTTGGTTACTTCCAGATGTATTGCCTTTGCGCGTGTTTGTGATGGATGCCTGCCATCGATGGGGGCAGAAATATCTACAGACACACAGAAGCACAGGTAACACATGTGGTGTGTCCCATGGCAAGTGGCTTTGTTTCCTCTGTCCACCCAGCACTTAATTGGGTTCACGACAGTCATTGTTGCTGTTAATCCACTATCGCCTGGCAAGGAGGAGGAGGAGAGGAAAGGAAAGAAAGGAAGGAGGAGGAGGAAAGGAAAGGAAAGGAGGAAAGGAGGAAAGGAGGAAAGGAAGAGAAAGGAGGAGGAAGGAAAGGAGGAGGAAGGAGGAGGGAAGGAGGAGAGAGGAGGAAAGGAAAGGAGGAAGGAAAGAAAGGAAGGAGGAAGGAAGGAAGGAAGGAAGGAAGAAAGGAGGAGGAGGAGGAAGGAAGGAGGAGGAAAGGAGGAAAGGAGGAGGAAAGGAGGAAGAAAGAAAGGAGGAAAGAGGAGGAAGGAGGAAAGGAGGAAAGGAGGAGGAGGAGGAAGGAGGAAAGGAAGGAGGGAGGAAAGGAAAGGAAGGAGGAAGGGAGGAGGAAGGAAGGAAAGGAGGAAGGAGGAAAGGAGGAGGAAAGAGGAGGAGGAAAGGAAGGGAGGGAGGAAGGAGGAGGAAAGGAGGAGGAAAGGAGGAAGGAGGAAGGAAAGGAAAGGAAGGAAGGAGGAAGGAAGGGAGGAAAGGAGGGAAGGAGGAGGAGGAGGAGGAAGGAGGAAGGAAGGAAGGAGGAGGAAGGGAGGAGGAAAGGGAGGAAAGGAGAAAGAGGAAGGAGGAAGGAAAGGAAGGAAGGAAAGAAAGGAGGGAAGGAAAGGAGGAAAGGAGGAGGAAGAAAGGAAAGGAAAGGAAGGAAAGAAAGGAGGAAAGGAAAGGAGGGAGGAGAGAGGAGGAGGAAAGGAAGGAGAGAGGAAGGAGGAAAGGAGGAAAGGAGGAAGGAAAGGAGGAAGGAAAGGAAGGAAGGAGGAGGAGGAGGAAGGAAAGGAAGGAAAGGAGGAGGAAAGGAAAGGAGGAAGGAGGAAAGGAAAGGAGGAGGAAGGAGGAGAGGAGGAAGGAGGAGGAGAGGAGGGAAGGAAAGGAGGAAAGGAGGAAAGGAGAGGGAGGAGGGAAGGAAGGAGGAGGAGGAAAGGAGGGAGGAAGGAAAGGAGGAATGGAGGAGGAAGGAAAGGGAGGAGGAAAGTTACTCTACTTACTCTACTTGCTACTTAATTTACTTCCTTACTTGTTTACTTACTTACTTACTTTAA